TGCGGGTGCTCCATCGTGCTAGAAAGTCATCCCGTGTTCCATCACGAGTCTCACGTATTGTGTCACTGGCAGGGCCATCAGAACGTCACCCAAGTCTTCTGTTAGGAATCTTAAATAATTGGCCCCATTCAGACTTGCCGGCAAAAACACTGGACCGATGACGGCACAACCTATTATACCAGCCCACACGTTAATCCGCCACTGGTGTTGAAAATTTGATTCCCTTGATACGCGGGGATTCAAATGAGTCCAAAAATGTTCATTATGCATATTGATAATGCCCGCACGCGTAAATGACGCCTCGTCTGTCCACAGTACCGACGAAGCGAAGTCGGGAGACCTCCCAACCTGGTCGCGGTACCAGCGGCAAAATGCCAAACGTAGATCATAGTCCGCTTGTAACAGCTCCTGCGTTCTTTGAAAATGGTATGGGTGCTGGCCATCATCCCGTAGCACACGCCACACACTCATATGGTTCACACCACCAAAGGCTGCCGCAGCACGACGAGTACTTGTCTTTGGATTGCCGAGAAAATGTTCCAAAACATCTGCCTCGAATTCTGGGTCTCGTGAACTCGGCCGGCCTTCAGAACTGGAACCACGGAACGATCCACTATTATGAAGTCTCATAACCATCTTCCTGAAGCATTCCACAGCAGGAAATGGTCGACGTCGATTTTCTGGGACGCCATCAATAAACTTTGCCCAATAAATTTGGTGAGGCTGGCGCAAGCTCCCATCGGCTGCGCCTACGCACAACATCATCTCTTAGTAATCACTATTGCTTAAGCGTGACATAGTTTAAATAAACACAAAAACAAGACACAAACAAAACGATGACACCTATTTAGTCCTCACAACGCAAACGGCAATTACAGACTGTTACAAAAAATTAAAAAATAGCACCTCTGCCTCAGCGGCGGCACATCAAAGGACGCCGACTGAAACGCAAATTTTGGAATATAGGGTAACGTTTTCATAATGTACCTACAGGGTGAAATTAAAATTATTACCATCCTTTTGAAATAAGACCCTTCTCCTGATACAAATTACATCATTACATACACATTAAACGAATACCTATATCCTACGTCTACGACCTTCAACGTTGCACTGCATACGCCTTTGTTTGTAAACGAGCTCTGACCATCACCCGTACCACTTCCACATAATGCAAGAACTGACTGAGTGATTACGGATATACTGCACTAAGGAGGCAGTCACCCATCGGAAACTCACGACGTCCGAAACGAAAGCCTAACACACTAACCGCTACACCATGGAGGCAGTCGACTATAGGAATCAAATCCACGACCTCCGAAACGAAAGCCTAACACTCTAACCACTACACCATGGAGGCAGTCGACTATAGGAATCAAATCCACGACCTCCGAAAACAAAGCCTAACACTAACCACTACACCATGGAGGCAGTCGACTATGGGAATCAAATCCACAACCGCCGAAACGAAAGCCTAACACTCTAACCACTACACCATAGAGGCAGTCGACTATGGGAATCAAATCCACGACTTCCGAAAAGAAAGCCTAACGCTCTAACCACTAGACTATGGAGGCAGTCGACTATGGGAATCAAATCTACGACATCCGCAAAGAAAACCTAACACTCTAACAACTACCCCATAGAGCCAGTCAACTATGAGAATCGAATCCACGACCTCCGAAACGAGTCTAACATTAACCACTAATCCACATCACCATGTATAAAATCAAAAGCTGGCGGCGAAAATCAAAGGTGATATTTTTGCCGCCAAAGTTGCCGCCAAAGGCTTGCGACTTCGCTACGATTACGTATCGCGTACGCAAGGCGACTAATCTTGATACTTTGTTTATTTAGGTAAGATTTTTTATGGTTTTACACTATTGCTAATTTAAACTATTCTAAAATATTTCTTTAGATGAGTAGATATTATTAGGAAGTAAGAACCTTAATAGGTTCAACGGATATTAATTATTTCAATTTCACCATGTAATAAACCCATACCCAGAAAGTTGTCGTGTGTAGATAAGTCAAATTAAGCGTAAGCCTGTTGTTAGAAACGTGCGCTCAGCAATAGACGTATGTAAGTTAGTAAAGTACTATTTTTTGCACAAGGTTTAGTCCACTGCACTTGCATAGTAAGTACTGGTTGGAAACTTGACATTCTGGCATCTTTGAAGATTTCGGCAATTATCTCCGAAATCCAAGTTTTCTCACGATATTTTCATTTCCAAGCAAGTGATGAAAATTTATTTTATTTTTATTTTTTATTTTTTATTTATGGCACAATGTACAGACATCAGATACAGAAAGTGAGGAAAATAAAAACACTTAAAAATTAATACAACAGGCATATCTGTGCCCAATTATTACTGTGCTCAACATTCATTTTAAAACATTTAGATATACTTAAACAGACACTAAATCAATCATAAAAAAAAAATTAAATTAAATTAAAATTACAATAATTAATTCGTGGTCAACGATCAAAACTAATTTCTTGACGTTTACCGACCTTCAGGTTGCACCTTTACGATGAAAGTGTCCCAATACAAAATTTCAACTTTTTGGGAATAAAAAAGAAAATAAGATTTCAAGTTTTTTCATATTTTCATATTATTTTATTTATTACCTACTCTTGAAGTACTAAAGGTGATGGCCTTATTAGTCTTTGAAAATAATGAGGAAAAATGGAACTTTACAACTGAAAATTGTTTCTGATCATTTTAATGTTCAACAATTTAAAAACATAATTTACAAAAACTAGTCGCCAATAGGTCTTTTTTTTAACGATTTTTTGTTATCATTTAACGTATTAAGAATTAAGTCTTTTTAATGTTCATCAGCTAAGCAAGATGTCATAACCCTTGATATTGTTTTGTGGTCCCTGTTTCACAATTAAAAAAGAAGAAAGTCCACGAAACAAAAAAGTAAGTCCCTTTAAAAAGTAAGTTACTAAAAAATTTTTTTTTTTTAAATATTAAGCGACGGGTCGAACAAGTCGTGTACCCGGTGGAAAGCGTCACGCCTGTCCATAACAGTAGCACTGCCGCTCGAAGGCTACTGCTACGGCGTCCATCTCTCTGAGACATAGTTGACAAGTCCCATGTGCCTGTAATTTCACCAGCACCCTTACCCTTCAAAACTGTAACACGGTAATGTGGCAGTACTACCCTGGACGAACTCACAAGGAGCTCTACTGCTACTAGTGATTTTTGAATATGATTTTCGGAACGAAAATGGCTCAAATGCTAATCCGTCAGTGGCAGCGTGTTGTCTTTGCAAATGCAGATTCAACAATAAATGCGGCGTTAATATTTCGACGCGGGAGTAGAATTTTTAAACTGAAAGAACAAAATGAAAGGGACCTTTATGAATCAGTGCTATTCGAGCTTTAATTGCACAATTTCATCTTCACCACAGTGTGACTAATGTAACAAAATATTTTTTTAAGATGGTTTTACGGTATAAACTCATTTTTTAATTTTTTGATTTGGGTCGCTTTCATTGTAAGGGTGCGAAGTATTAGTCGGATAATTGCGTCATATTGCGTCATGCGTTAGAAGAAACATACCGACGCCGCCATGCGTTAGAACAGTACCGACGGATAGAAAGAGACAAATTTCATTCATTAAAATACAATAGATGAATGCGTATGGTAAAAAGAAACAGAGATAACTTTAAATATGTGTTTTTTAGAGGACATTAGTTTTATTAATGGATATTAAATGGAAATTTGTGTATTTTGTATGTTTGAAGATATGAAGTTAACGAAACCATATTACGTTATTATGTACTAAGTTTTAAATAATAGTATTATCGACGTAAGACTTATTTTATAAAAAAAACTATCAAGATGACTACAAATTTTAATGTACGAGTAATTGGAATTTAGGTTAAGTTTAACAAAGAAATCTACGCTTCCTAATACGTCCGCACACGCCGATCGTTCGAGCAAAAGTGGTTCACGATGCTCCAACTCGCTTATATATGCTTCGGGTGGTCCGACGTCGCGTGAGTAGAGGGTGAGCGGGGACATCATGTTACACGGCTTCTCCTGACGGGCGGTCGACCTCGTCCGCAACCCTGCAAGACTCGCGACTTGGACCCGCTTCATCCTCAGACGTGGTCTCGTTTGTGAGTTCATCAGCTTCAGCTAAAATTAATAAGACGCGTTAAAATTCATCATCACAAAACGAGCCTAAAGTAATCACGACATCGTCTTTCAAACACAAATGTACATTCCAGTCCACTTTCATAAGGCATCAATCATATTCGCTTAGCATACAACTTAATATGTCCACATTCACACAGATCGATCTCGAGGGCCCCCTTGCATACAGAACAACCTGGCTCGGCCAGTAAAAACGTTGGGCAGTGACTAGTATGCCCTGACAGCGCCCTTTGTGAGCTAACTGCCTTGCCGTGGTAGAGAATCACACTCGATACCAACGTGACCGCGTGGTGGAGATACACTCGACACCAGCGTGACCGCGTGGTGGAGATACACTCGACACCAGCGTGACCGCATGACAGAGATTAACACTCGATGCCAGCGTGACCGCACGACAGAGATTAACACTCAATGCCAGCGTGGTGTATCAAAACACACTTCCATGAATACCATTAACACCGACTATGACAATACTTGTGAATAAAGTGTGCAACTTACAATCAAAAATGCAGCGCAAGTCTCAGGAGTCCATTCTCCCGCCCACAACACCATATTTTCGGCAGCAGCCTCAGTACGCTTACCGTATGAGGCAACCAGCAGTTCCAGTTCATAACGATGGTGTGGAAGGCATTTCAGCACCTTATAAGGACCCCGCATACAAGAGTTGAGTTTACCTGCTGCCTGTGAAGCTTTAATTACAAACACCTTGTCGTTTACTTCAAACCCTCGGGGCGATTTCCGGTTTTTATTGACATACTCGTCCTGTCTTTGCTGGTTAGCCGACAACAGTGACGAAACGTGTTGTCTACGTAGTGCCATAGTCGCCTCGCGGTTAGAAGTTGCGATATCAAGCGCAACATCTCGGACCAGGGCACGTATGATAGGTGTAGATGATTCGCTGCCGATGAGTAATTGCAGCGGAGACAAGTTGGTCGTGCTATGTCTAGTGCTATTCAGAATAAGTTGCGTCTTCCATAAGACTTCAGGCCAGCTTTGTTGCCTATGGTTAACCTCTATACGTAATAGGTTAAGTAGGGTTCTACAATAGCGTTCGGCTTGCCCGTTTTCATGGTGCATACCCGGAGTAATAAAGTGAATATCGCTACCAAGAGATCTAACCATGTCTTGGAAAGAGGAACTTTCAAACATACGTGCTCGGTCTGTGACTAATAGCTTAGGTGAGCCAAATAGTGAGACAGCGTCAGTATATGCGCGTTTTAACTCGGAAGTATCTTGGCGGTAAAGGGCGTAAAGGCGGAAATATTTCGAAAAGGCGTCTATTATGACTAGCACGTACTTGTAACCTTCAGCTTCGGGTAATGGACCAAGAACGTCCATGTGAACCACAGAAAACGGTGCGTCGGGTTTTGACCACGATTCTATGGGTTGGTGGGAAGCACGTGGTACACGTTTATGTGAAAGGCACACGATACAATGTTTTAGGTATTTCCTTACAAAGGCACGCAAGCCGGGGAACCAAAAATGACGTAGAATAAGTTCTACGGTCTTATCATACCCAATGTGGTCCTGATCATCATGAAAGACATGAAGCAAACTCAGCCTATACCCTTTAGGGATAAAGCACAAATAACGTGTATCCTGACCCGTAGATGAATATTTCACGTATAATAAGCCGTTCTTTACACAATAACGAGAGGAGTCTAGTTGACCGTTATTTAAACTATCGATGAGATTATGAGTCTCCTCATCTGCAGACTGAGCTAACTTGGCCCAATTTTTAGGACTTTCGATGTGACATACCTCAATCGGATTCCTACTAAGGTAGTCTGCGTGGGGCATTAAAGCACCCTTCCTATACTCGAAATTGTACTGGAAGTCTTGCATATAAAGCCACCATCTAGCCACGCGGGGAAGTAAATCCTTTTTACGCTCGGTTAGTTTTAAAGCATTACAGTCCGTTACAATTTTGAAAGTTATGCCTAAAAGATATTTCCGAAAATGTTGGAGAGCCTTCACTACGGCTAGCGTTTCTAACTCGTAAGAATGATATTTCGGCTCTGCTCCCTGGGTGGACTTGCTAAAATATGCTACAACGCGCTTAAGGCCGTCTTTGTGAATTTGTAGAAGGATAGCGCCATAACCGATGGCGCTCGCATCCGTATGGAGCTCAGAAGGTAGTTGAGGATCAAAGATGGCAAGAACAGGTGCATTTGTGAGGCAATGAATTACGTAATCGCGCGCTTTATTTTGTTCTACCCCCCACATAAACGAAACGTTCTTTTTTGTTAATTGTGCAATGCAGGCGGTGCGCTGGGCATAATTTGAAACGTAACGCCTAAAGTAACCAGCAAGCCCCAGGAACTGCCTGACCTGTTTTACGTTACAAGGCTTTGGGGAATCAACTAAGGCTTGGACCTTACGAGTACTCGGCCTAACCTGACCATTGCTAATGGTCCTCCCCAGATATTCAATCTCACTACTCAGAAATGTACACTTCTTAAGATTTATAGAAAACCCTGACGTGGTTAGCGTTTCTAATACTTGTCGCAACAAGATTAAACCTTCTTCTACTGAATTCGACAATATAAGAACGTCATCTATGTAGACTAGCACCTTCCCAGAATTAATGAAAGGTTTCAGTGTCTTTGAAATTATCTTTTGATAAACTACAGGTGCATTACAAAGACCGTAAGGCATCTTTACGTACTCGTAATGACCTTCGGGGGTCACGAACCCTGTCTTGGCAATGGAGCTTTCCTCCATTGGGACTTGATGGAAGCCCGTTGCCATGTCTAAACTGGTAAAGAATTTACTAGACCCTAAGCGATCTATATGGTCCTCAATGACCGGCAAAGGAAATTTATCCTTGACGGTGCGTGCATTTAAGGCCCTATAATCGACGCACATCCTATCTGAACCGTACTTTTTCTTAACTAAAATCACCGGGCTCGCATACGGTGATTCAGATTCGCGTATAATACCTTTACTAGTCAAATCATTCACAATATCGCGAACGCGCAATTTTTCGTCATGCGATAACCGATAAGGCCTATAGTGAACCGGCTCTTCGGTAGTTAAAGCTATTTTCATGGTACCCGTTGTGACCGTCGACGTAGCTGTGCCCGTTATGAACGAACTCGAGTAATCACTTATAACCGACAAAAGTTGTTCCCTATCTGCACCTAAAAGGGGCGTGTCTACATTTTGAACATTGAACTGAGTATTATTGACGGTAGCAGTTACTTCTGTGTGAGTCAGAATCTGAACGCCGTTTTGTCGGATATACGTTATACCCTCACGATTTAAAATATCCGTACCGATAATGACCGGAATACTAATGCAATAATGGGGAACTACGTATAGATCCGCCTCGATCGAAATGCGAGGAAGTTCAATGACTAACGTCACAAATGAGGTACTTTCGACGTGTTGGCTACCAATGCCTTTTAATACGCGATATGTCGGTTTGAGAGTAGTTTTAAAATGTTTCAACACCGAACTCGATATAAGTGAGATGCAAGAACCGCTGTCTACTAAAACGTCAATCGGTATGCTTTGAATAACTGCGCTTGTGACGTCATTGCTACACTTGATAACATTGTCATCCAACTTGCTACAAAAATTAACGCTATGAACGTTCAGGCTCGACGATTCCGAGCGTTGTTTGGCAAAACAGTCATCAGCTGTGTGACCATTCTTTTTACAGAACGTACAAGTTTTAATCTGAGGCGGTGTCGATAATTGAGACGGATTAGAATTTTTCGAACCAGAATAATTTTGCAAACGCTGTCTCTTAGCACTATGACAGTCAATGCGCTTATGCCCAAACTTGCCACAAAAATGACACTTCATGTCGCTATTAATTTTCCTGCCGTCACTATGTCTCGCAACAGACTGACCAGCATGTGGGGCACGAAAAGATTCACGGGTTGATTTAAAATTACTTTTGAGTTTCACGTACATCGATAAAAACTGTACTAGATCATTCGGTTGTAGTTTTGAATTCGTCGCGGCGGCTTTAACGTGAGGATCTACGATGCCCCTAAGTACTATAGCAACAATTAGTTCGTCTGACAAGCCCCGCACTAAGGCTAACTTTAATAATGAACGTCTGGCGTACTCAGCGTAGGTATCATAACCATTGGAATTCGTGGACATCACCTCATAAAGAATAGACGCAATATCAATGTCTCTGGGGCACAAAGCTTTAAAATCGCGTTTAAAATTTGTCCATGAGCGATCTGAACTAGACCATTCATGCAACCAAATACGCGCATCGCCTTTTAGATAATTACCGATTCGCGATAGACACTCATTATCGTCCCAACCGTTCGTCTCCTTAGCCCTATCGACTTCCTCACACCAGACATCGATATTGTGCACTTTTGGATCAAAATTCGATATGAAATAATTTTGAGACCTTACTTTGACAAGCGATGAGATGACCTCCACGATTCTGCCGGTTGTATCCTCGCTGTTAGGAATGCTTTCCCTTGACGTGTATAACGGCCTGCGATTCGCGGATGCCAAGAAATTGTCGTCAGCTGCGGCGCTACTCGGTGGCACGGGTAGCTCTGGCGACGCCATGAGCTGTGGGACGAAAGGCTCGGGCGTCGGCGGCGGAGGAACGTGAAAACGTTGTTCAAGTGAGTTTAATCTAGCAAGGATGGCATCTAGCGCGTCTTTATTCGAATCGCACTTGCGCTTACGTGAGCGGGTAGGCCGCTCCGCATCAGCCATTTTGTTTAAAACTTAAAGCAGTAATACAAATCGATAAATTGAATTTGCAAGATGAAAAATCAAACTCAAACTGATTTTGTACCGGCAATTACGTAATTTAAACACGTGAGCGACAGGGAACAATCCCACGCCTGATATTATCGACGTAAGACTTATTTTATAAAAAAAACTATCAAGATGAC